TTTGGAGCAAAGGTTGAAAAAAAAAATTAAGAATTTATTTAGTAAATAATTTTTATTATTACTAACTTTTATATAATGAAAACAATGTATTATATTTGACATGAGTTGACATATCGTTCAATCACAACTGGAACACGCTAAAATCCTATACATTCTAATGCCATTTGTGGTTTTTCCACTGCACCTTCGGCGTTCTGGAGAAATTAGAATCAGTTGTGGTTTTTCTTTCATTTTGTTAATTACACTTTCAGATTATATTTTTTGTTGAAGAGGCTATCAGTTGCAGATATTAGAGAACTCATTTCTTTGGATGTTTGGCTGCAATATTACTTGTTTGAAACATTAACTAAAATATTAACTTATTACATGGAAACAAATATTCAACAGCTGCGGCTAGCAACAAAAACAGAGACAAAGCAACAATGAATGAAGTTGAAAGCATCAAAATCAGCAGTTGGGTGTGGTTTTCCGGGGAGGTGTTTGGGTTCATTGCGGGAAAATCAGCAGGTTCATAGCGGCAAGATTTAATTGATTTCTTAATATGACAATGGTAAATCAGCAGGTCGTTTGATGGATTCACGGCAGCCAGCGACGTTGACGAAAGCGCCAGCGATGTCGATAACAATTTCGGGTCTCCGATCTATGGGGAGTTTATGGGAAGTCGCGGCCGGTTCTGCTAGGCGTGGAGGGAAAGTGAAGGAAAGTGTTTTGGACTTGGTGGGTTTCATTTGACTTCATTTGTTTTTTTTAAAGTGTTTGCCAGCTCATCTGGTGCATTTCTGGAAAACGGCTTCTGTACGTCTAGCACGGTCGATAATGGAAAGGGTGAGTTGACATGATTTGACATATCGTTCAATGACGGATTACATCATGGGTCCCAAATGATTGAACCAAAAAATCAATTATTTCCCTAAAGTTAGCGCGGCCAGACAATTATTAACCCCCTATTTTTAGTAAATTTGATAAAAATTAATGAAATGCATGATTGAAAAGTTGTAGGTGCTATGAAATATGTAATTAAAATTAATTATTGATTTTGACTTAAAATTTTAATTGAATTTTAATCCAAACCAAACAGGAGCTAAAT